GTGACGGGTGTTGTGTGAGTGGGTAGAAGCAGATGTTGTGAAGTATTGTGAGATGTGCGCAGGTGTCATACCATTCAGTGCCTTGAACGTGAGGACAGCCTTGGCCCGTGTGTGGTGTTGTGATACGGTGGTCCAGCCTAGCAGGTTCAAAACAGTTTCACTGGAAGTGTAGCGGTCGCACCCTAATATGACCCTACCAGCTCTGTTTTGTAGCTTCTGAAGCTTGTCTGTACAACCCTTCCCCCCTGGTCCCAAACAGTACTGCAATATAAGATGTGGGGGAGGAACAGTGTGTTGTAGATAGTCAGTAGTGCTTGTTTGTTCAAGTATGGTCTTAGGCACTTCATTATTCCAATTGCTTGTGACAGCTTCTTTGAAACATGGGTAAAATGGTGGTTCCACTGTAGTGTGTTGTCGAGGACAACGCCTAGATACTTGGACGTTTCCACTTGTTCCAGTTCTGAGCCAGCAAGTGTAAGTTGCAGGTGCTGGTCAGCAGCTCGGGACCTGTGTGAAGCAACTAGCATTGATTTGCATTTGGAAGGGTTTAAGGAGAGTCTGTTGGCGATAAACCAGTACACTAGCCGGGTAGAGTCGTTTTGGATTGTGTCCTGTATTGTGTGTGTGCAGCTGTGTGAAAAGTAGAGAATGGTGTCATCTGCATACATGGCTACCTTACAGGACTGTATGCAATTGGGAAGGTCATTAATGTAGACAATGAAAAGAAGGGGTCCAAGGATGGACCCCTGCGGAACGCCGCAAGTCACGTTAGATGGGTACGACAGGACTGAGTTAAGGCATGTACGCTGTAACCGGCCTGTCAAGTATGACTTGAACCATCTACATGACATTTCATCAACACCATAGGCTTTAAGTTTACTGAGCATGATGTCATGATTTAGGGTGTCAAAGGCCCTGGATAGGTCGCAGAAGATAACACCAGTTTGTTGTTTTTTGTCAATAGCCTCAATCCAGTCCTATGTAACAAAATGCAGGGCTGTCTCACAAGAATGACGCTTTCTGAAGCCTGACTGGCATTGTGAGAGCAGTTGGTGTTGGTTAAAGTAGGTGTATAGCTGGTTGTGAACCGCCCGTTCGAGTATTTTGGAAATTCCCGGCAGGATGGACACTGGGCGATAATTACTCGGCATAGTCCTGTCCCCTTTTTGTGGATTGGCATGACTTTTGCCATCTTCCACTTAGTCGGAAACTCTCCTGACCTTAAGGACTTGTTGAAAAGGTTAGTGAGCGATGGAGCAAGGACCTGTGCACCTGCTTTAAGGAGTCTGTTATCAATACTGTCTAGGCCGGTGGCCTTTTTCACGTTCAGCATTGATAGTTGATCGGTGACAGACTCTACTGTAAGTGGTGTGAAGCTGAAAGTGCTGTCTACTTTGTTTATGAACTGAGTAGGTGAGTAGGGCGATACAGCCCCTGAAAGAGTACTGCACAAGTCCTGTATGACTTGGTGAAAGAAATCATTGAAAGTTTCTGCCAGTCCTTTACTATCTGAGATGCTCTGACCTTCGTGCTCCAAGTAAGTAACAGTACTAGTGTTTGTAGTCTTGTTGGGTAGTAGTGTACGTATGGCCTTCCAAACACCAGCCTTCCCCCCTTCAAACCCCTAGCTGTATTACTGACTGAGCTGCATGGTCTTTTTTCGCCTTGCGGCATAAGTAATTCACCCTGTTTTTCATTCCCTTGTAGTCGGACAAGTCGCTTGCACTACCGGAGCGTTTCGCTTTCATGTACATTTTGTCTCTTAGAACAATGAGGTGGCGAAGGTCGCTATTGAGCCATGGTGCAGGTGTACCTCTCATTTTGCATTTTTTCAATGGGGCATGTGTGTTAGCTACACCGGTAACCAGCTCTTCCCAGACCTCAACCTGTTCGTCTATAGTTGGAAAGTTTTGGATGATGTGCCATGGTATTTGGGCAAGATCTTCACGATACTTTTCTTCGTTAAAAGATTTGTAGACTCTTCTACATGTGACGTTAGGTTGATGTCTGGGATTTTTGTTTCTGTGGAACGCAAAAGTCATAACATGATCACTGAAGCCCCCCTCGTAAGTCCCCTGGTTGTGCAGACGTGTTGTCTCATTTGTTAGGATCACATCTAACGAAGTGGAGGAGGTGTCTGTGGTTCTGGTTGGTGTTGTTATGACATTCTCTAGCTGGTACAACATACAGGAGAATCTCAACTTTCCTATTGGCCCTGAATTATCAGAAGTCAGCCAATTACAGTTGAGATCGCCCATAATTATAACTTCCTCATCTTCATCAGCAATTCTGTCCATGCATTCATCAAATTTCTCGAAGAACGCGTGGTCATCGGTTGGCGGGCGGTACATGGCACAAAGCAGAATTTTCTTACGAGATGGAGGAATGATCTCAGCCCATACGGCCTCGAGGCCTGGAACGTCCAAATCACGACGTGCTTTGAAAGGAATTTTGTCGGAGATATACAAAGCGACACCGCCCCCATGTCGAGATCCACGGTCCTTTCTTAGTACATTTATAAGAATGAATGGAAACAAGAGCATCGGTGATAGAGTCATCTAACATAGTCTCAGAGACAGCAAGTACATCGGTTTTACTGCAGTCTAGAAACGCTTCAAGTTGCGGTTTCTTTTTAACTAGACTTCGTATATTCTGATGCGCAAACAGAAGACCCTTATGGTTCGACTTTACTGGTGCATCTGTCGTAATGTTCAGTAAGTCTTCATGAACGACGGAGAATGGGTCTGTCTGGGACATGTTACCAGTGATATTGCACTTGTGACACAACCAATTGTCAGTTACATCCTTGTTATCAAGTCTTTCTGCACAAGCTGTATGAAAACAAGTATCGCATGAAACACAAGAAATACCTTTTCCTACCCTATGTAAACAAAGTCCACATGGGGATCTGGAGGCCCTGGGTCCTGGGTTGGGAGACACATCACCAGACAGGAGTATGGCCAGGCAGGAAAGCAGGTTTAAAGTTCGCCGAGTTCTGTCGGCTCCAGTCGAAGATGGTCCCAGGCGTGTAAGTCCGTACAGTCCAGGGTTAATCTTCACGATGCCGGTACTCTGGGTCAGCCAGCTTCCAGTTTCAGCACTAACTCTACTGAAAGTCTTATCCCATGTAGGTACAGTTGCAGGGCGTGGGAGCACCGCTAGGGCTAACACTAACATGAACAATGCCCTGGGGATGCCGAGTACGACAGTGCCCCGAGTAACAGTAGAAAATCCTTGAATAACTAACATGATACAGGTAAAATCAGTCGCTAGGCTAAAATAACATTACTGCGAGTCACTCGCTAAAAATACAAGGTAAAATCACAAGGTTCCTGATCATTCCAAGATGGCATGTATTCCCGTGATAATAAGACCAAAAATCGAAAAGAAGGATCAAAATGGATGAAATAGTTAATGTGAGACAAATATGATGTACTTATCTTTGTACCTGAAACACCAAAAAGGCTGATGGTAAAATTTTAAGGAGATTTTTAGTGGATTTAGGAATGGATTTTGGGACGGGAATCAAACAGCAGCCATCTTAGATCACATTGATATGCACATCCAATGTTTTTTGTCCGTACGTTTTTTGGGAGGCTACGTCTGCTACGTTTTTTCTGAAAACGTGGGGAAGGGAGTGGCGTCGACGCACGTCACTCGCACGGTTGCACAAGGTGTAAGAGTGTGGTCTGCACGCCACGTCTGGCCGTGAGCGGTTGCGTGCATCGTAAGTTGCGCAAGTGGCCATGGTAAGTGAGTTGTACGTGCTTACAACGTACGATCTCTGTGCGATTGCAACTTTACCGTAAGGAGGCCGTACTCACACGTGCTTCTTCCGCACGGCACGTACGGGCACGGGTGGTGAATCCGCAGACCGCACGTAGAAAAAGTTTTTACATGAACTTAAAGTCTACGGCGTGTCTGCGTGCTCCCAAATCCGTAGGATTCCGTACGGAGGCGATACTTACCACGCACGGATCCCCTACGTTTTCCCACGTTTTTTTCACGTAGACAGCACGCAGAAGCACGTATGGCGGGTTGTGACCGTGGCTTTAGCTAGGCAACTGCGTTCTAGGGTGAGCCGGCTGCAGTTCAATTGACCTCCGCAGGGCGCCATTTAAAAGAGGGCCTCAAGTGCGGGGTGTTACCACTTGAAATTTAAACAGGTTCATAAACAACACTTCTTGTCACCGAAGCTTCCGAGAATTGTCTAAATGGATGGAATAACATGAATCACTTCATTTAACTACCCCGGTTTGATAAAAACTATTTCAACAAAAATATTCTTTGTATTGGCTTAATTTGGGACAAAATAAGAAATTTAAACAGGTTCATATTATACTACAATCTCTACGACAGACCATGCTGTGATACCCAGTTATCTTTTGCTGTTATAGGTGGTATTGATATATATAGCACACGAGTTGTTTGTGAGTGCTGCGGCAATTTATATAGCCATTTTTCGAATGATCAACTGGCATTTGCTCTTATAGCTTCTCATAACTATGTTATGTTGTCCAACTATGGTGTTTGGACTGTCCTTTCAGACCTTTCTTTCAGACTGTCCGACTGTAGTGTAGAGTATTCCGCTTTGTTCATAAGGGACGATTTTGCGGCCCCTGAAAAAGCATTGTCATGAAATGTCTTGAACCTTGCATCGGCTCCTTGGTCTTGGATATGTCTCAAGCTGAAAGTCA